TCGTTATCCTTTACCCTTTTACTTTCAAAATGACTTTCACTATGACTAATGCACTTCGAAATGAATTTGTTTTTCTGATGCCTTGAGTCATTATATTCAAATTATATTCATATACATTCCATAACTTTTTTCGCTTATTCAAATTGAGTTTGATCTGAATATTTCATATTTTAGTTTTATAAATATAATAATTTCAAGGCTACAAACTTATTTTAAATTTGAGATACAGTAGAATCCGGTTAAACCGACTCCACTTATAGCGTTTTTACGTTTATAGCGACCAAAATTCTGGTCCCCAGACAAACTTGTATGAGCAAACTTATACGGTTATAACGGTTATAGCGTATGATGATAAGTATTATAGTATAGCCCACAAGAGATTGCAATTTGAAGTGTTGGTTTTATTTAGAATATAAATAACATATTCCACCTTCCTTGCGTTTTCCCAAATCAATTTACATTCGTTTAATAGACCTAATGACTGTATTGGTTTTATCTAATGTCCCATGCTATCAAACAACATAAAATCAATACGGCGATTGCCACGCGAGACGTGACAACATAATATTAAATAACTAAAGCATTTGCAAGACTTCAATCTGAAAATTATCCAAAAAGTTTGAGCATTGTCGTAGACCTCAGACATACTTATACATACATAGATTTTTAAGCAATTTAAACTAAACTTATCAATTAAGTGTATACTAACTTAATACATTAGTAATTTCCGATTATGAGTATCTTCAATGGTTTTGAATGTAAATTGAATAGTCTTAGAATTTTTGTCGAGCGTATTACTTTACGTGTTTTATGTATGTATATTTAGACTAATTGAATTGTAGTTTATGGAACTATGATAGTTCCATATGTGCAGACGGTGAAGGTATTTGCTTACAATTTATACGAACTTCTACTGCATATTGATGAAATGTTTGGATTAGCTTCTGGCTAGGAGGGGAACTGGTAACTTGCAACAGTCTTCTTCTGAATCGGTCTGCATATAAGGGCACAATTATCCACGAAAGGACGCGTTATTTCGTAAGAATCTTCGCACTTGGGGCCCGGGGAGAAGTTGAAATTGAAGTTTGTGAATGGCTTCATTGTGTTCTGAATTTTTCAACTTTTGCAACTGGTTTTGTTTACAATTCCTTCGGATAATTTTCACTGAGGTGGATTTTACAAATAGCTTAAATCAACATCCGTTGCTGACCGACTGAGGCTGAATGCCAAACGCAACAAAATTGAATTATGCATCTGCGACGTTGCCCAGCTAAAGTTTAGGCCCGACTCAAAGTTTGCAGCGTTTGCTGTGAGTCTCACGTGCTGACTGTCAAAGCAAATAAAAATAACAAAATGGCTTCACCTGGCACCTGTATCCTGGCAACATTCATTTAAACACCTTGGACGGAGCGTTCAGTTGGAGTTGTTGTTGCTGGCAGCGCACGTTGAGCTCTGCCGAATTTGACGGCGCCACGGCTGGTCCGCCCATTGCCAACACGCTTGGAGCTTCTTAATTTCCATTTGCATTCTTGCATTCTGCACTAGACAAGCTCGCTCTCACTCGCCGGCAAGGCTTAAGCAAGCATGCACTACAAATCGGGTGAAATATTTAATGATCCCGTTTGTTTATTGAATTGCAGTCAAAAGTTTTGGCACGGACGGAAGCCCTGCCCAGCGCCTTCCCGTCCACTACCCCGGCCCCAATCAGCCTTTTGGCCGCAAAGCTTATACGCAGTGCGAGAGTGAGTGTGAAGATGGCGCAATTGCTGCAGTCGCTTACGCCAACAACAAGAACAACAATAACAACAACAACAACGGCAACGGCAACAGTAAAGTCAACAGCATATCCAAAGGTAAAGGCGGCAAACCAGCTGTAACGGGAATATTGCTACGCCGACGTCTATGCCGACGCTGACGCCAACAGCGATGCCGACGTCGACGACCGAAAAGTGAAATAGCTTCTGTCAATATTCTGTCAATGGGCATATTTTTGCCATGCCAAGTGGGCCGATGGGTGAGAACGGACGGATTTCTTTGTAGAAAGTATTTTCGTGAACCGATTTCTGTTGCTGGGTTTTTATTTCGGATACTATTTAATCGATCTATGCGCAGCTGAAATGAAATCTATTTTCCCTATCAAGTCAAATTTTAGAATATTTAACTAGCAATCCGCACATCTTAAATCAATAGAGTCGTAAAAATGAACGAATCAAATGATGATGAATATAAATACGTTGTAGACACTATGGCAAGCAGTTATTTATTATTTATTTTCTTTATTTGGAGAACTTTAAAATACAAATTACATGTAAAATAAAATAAAAACAAGCAGAAACTGCTAACTGTATTACGAAATCGATATTATACCCTAACGGAATTTCATAATTGGATGACAGTCCCCTATGTCTGATAGTTCTAATCAAATTTTTTTTATAATAT